AACCAAAAAAAAAAAAAAAAACCTGAAATAAATATATGTCCTTGAAGATGTCTTGTGGCTTCAGTCTTTGACTCCATCTCCTCTTGAGGCCTGGAGTCTCAGGCTCCAGAAAACAGAATCTTTGTGGTGTCCAAGTGTTTTTCAAGATTTTATAACCACACACACACACACACACACACACACACACACACACACCGTGTGTGCGTGCTCACACGTAACCACATATGGGCACACAGTAGATAAACATATACACACACCCCACATAGACATCCTGAAATATGATCTAATTTGGTTTCCCATAGAATATAGAAGAAATAAATATACAATAAGGTACTTTTCTTAACCTATCAAGGAAGTACAAACTAAAACATTGAGATATCTTTGCTTATCAGAGTTGCAAAGACTAATGACTGATAACAGGGGCTGGGAGCATTGCTCAGTGGCTGAGCACTTGTCTAGCATGCACAAAGCCCTGGTTTCCATCACCAGCACTGTTACAAACAGCTGGCACTGTTCACTGGAGGTGAAGGTGAGGTGAGGGCCTCTTACACAGTTGTTATGGATAGAAGCGGCTTTAGTATCCTCCCCTTTGTCTTTTTGAGACAGGGTCTCCCTGTAACCCTAACTGTCCTGGAACTCACTGTGTAGACCAGGCTGGCCTTGAACTCACAGAGATCCGCCTGCCTTTGCCTCCCAAGTGCTGGGATTAAAGGCATGTGCCACCTTGCCTGGCACAGTATTTCTTTACTGGTGAACATATGGATGGAGGTGTGTACACCTCACTTGAGGACTTGTTTCTCACAAATGTTTTCAGCTGTCACTGTATTGCTTTTACTAAATTAAAAGACTGAATATTAATTAATTAGGGAGTTCTTCTTGGCCTTTTTCTTTCACTGTGGTGTGTTTTTGTTTTTTTTTTTTTTTTTTTTTTTTGCTTTTATTTGGTCTTTTTAAGACAGGGTCTCCTTGTAGCCCCCCAGCTGGCCTAGAACTAGAGATCTACCTGCCTCTGCCTCCTGATTGCTGGGATTAAAAGTGTGTACCACCACACCCTGCTTTTATTGTGGTTTTTAAAAAATAATTTTGTCAATGTAGTTTGAATATATTAATCTCCCACAGTTTGCCCTAAGGGATAGACCTTAGACCTCACCCTTTTTTTTCTCTTTTTTGGATAACCCACCAAGTCCAATCAGTGTAGGGCCATCCACTGGAGTGTGGTTGTTTCACTGTTTTATAAGCAAACAAACAAAAAAATTCAAAATCCAATTAGATTTCCATCTAGTGGTTTCCTTACCCTTCATAAGAAGTGTGTGCTAATGATTATAGTGTGAATGTGTCAGCTTTTCGGCATTCACTGGCTCTTTATTTAAGATCTCGTTGTTTCTGTTTTGATCACCCTTTTCCTTTTGGATTCTCCTTAGATGTGAGATCTGTGGATTTACTTGTCGACAAAAGGCATCCCTTAATTGGCACATGAAGAAACACGATGCGGACTCCTTCTACCAATTTTCTTGCAATATCTGTGGCAAAAAATTTGAGAAGAAGGACAGCGTAGTGGCACACAAAGCAAAAAGCCACCCTGAGGTGCTGATTGCAGAAGCTTTGGCTGCCAACGCAGGCGCCCTTATCACCAGCACAGATATATTGGGCACTAACCCTGAGTCCCTGACACAACCTGCAGATGGCCAGGGACTTCCTCTTCTTCCTGAGCCCTTGGGAAACTCAACATCTGGAGAGTGCCTGCTGCTAGAAGCTGAAGGAATGTCAAAGTCGTACTGCAGTGGGACGGAACGGGTGAGCCTCATGGCTGATGGGAAGATCTTTGTGGGAAGTGGCAGCAGCGGGGGCACTGAAGGGCTGGTCATGAACTCGGATATACTCGGTGCTACCACAGAGGTTCTGATTGAAGATTCAGACTCTACTGGACCTTAGCGGAAAGACAGACTTTGGGCATTGGGACAGTGCAGACTTTGTATTTAAAAGAGAAAAAGGACAAAAAAAATTTAAAGCATTTAAAATCTAGTAAAATAACTGAAGGGCCTGCTCTTTGCATTGTGGATCACAGCGCACAAACGCGCGCGCACACACACACACACACACACACACACACACACACACACACACATCCCCTACACTCCCTGTCTTCTTTCCCTTAAGCATTGATGCTACCTTTACAGAAAGGCAGGTGCAAAGCAGCAGCAGTGGTGGCTCCACGGTGAGGCTTGTCCTCATGCCTGTTCCAGCCAGTGGCAGACTTCCTGTTGTCCACAGATCTCCTCCTCCAACCTGTAACTCTGATGTGCTCTCTGGATCAGCTTTTAATTCTTAATAGTATATCACTATCTTCTAAATCCTTTTTCCTCTACTGCTGTCCTACGGTTCTGGCTTTCCCCAACTCAGCCACCAACACGTACCCTCAAATAGTATATGATTCTGTTCTCTGGAGGCTGGCAGCTTGACTTGGCACTTTAGGGCCCCTTAGCAGGGTGCTGTTAAAACAGCACATGTCTCTTACCCCCTCTTCCTCCATTCCTCACTCGGTTTGGGGAAGGAAGAATACATGGGGACCACTTCCCTCCTCTTGATGGATCCCAGCACCTCAGTCCCCTTTCAAACCACCTCCATATGGTTCTTAATGGTGCTCACTTGCTTGGAAGCAGGCTCCCAAGAGGGAGGGGGCTGCCCTCTGTACAGTCTATCTGACTGTAAATCAGGGCTGTATATCAATGAGACAGTGAGAAAAGTCCCAGGCTAATGGCAGAAATTTGCACTTTGAACATACATGTTTTTGTGTTGTGGAACCTGAGATTCCTTATTTATTAATGGAAAGTCTGATTTGGGGGGGGAGGGTCTTTGTTGCTATATTTTGTGGGGCTGGGAGAATAGATTATTCTGATGTGGGATCCTTCTTACAAGAGGTACTTTGAAGGCGGCGTAGAGTGGAAGAAGCACAGCCAGCCTCTAAAAATCATAGCTCTCCAGTGGCCTTTAAAGAAAGCTGGTCCTTAGCACTAACAGAATCACTACAATAGCCTAGTGCTTTTTGGAAGCCTTAGGAAAGGATGGTAGGTATGATAACTGATGTGCTCTTTGAGATTTTAAGAGCATTGAGATTTAGGAATTTTGAAGGGATGAGGAATGTTCAAGGTCTAAATTACAGATAAAAAGATTTTCTCTATGAATTTATTTTCTCTCTTCATTCTCACCATTTCTTTGCATATTACTTCCTACAGGCCTAAGTGGCCCCTTGTTTTGATTGTGGATTTTGCTTTGTTATTGATTCATTCCAGCTGTCTGTTAGTGAAAGACCAGAAAGGAACAAAGTCTGAGAATCCTAGAGTTTTGAGTCATAGAGAAAACTGTCTTGTTTCCCTTTTCATAATATCTTAGAAGAGAACAAAATTTTAATAGACAAAAGCAAAGATGAAAATCTGTGTAAGAATGGCTTTGGCTCTCACCTGAATTAACTACTGTCCTTGGAAGAGGAATTTTCATGCTTTGTGATGTATCATTGTCAGTGGAAACACAAGTCTGTTACTCTCAGAAGACTAGAAACATTTGGGCTCAGTTTTTGAGAATTAGAAGAGCATTTCCTATCCTGTGTACCTCAGAAGCTACAATTGAAAAGTTACCTAGTTTGTTGTCAGAAATGTATGATGGCTGTTAAAAAGAAAAAAGGGAGTGTGGCTGAGAGCAAAATAAGGAGCAGCTTGTTTTTTTACAAACACTAAAACTACAGCGTTTATCAGATTTTCTCTTTGATTAATTTTTTCCTAAAAAGGGGAGTAACAAAATGTCATCTCTGAAAGAGGCTTACTGTACACCCACCAGTATCAGTGGTTGGGATGCCAGGGAAGAGGGAGTACAGACACCTACAACAGACAGTCTTAAATGCACTATTGTTTGTTCTCAGAGTATTGCAGATTTGCCCTCCCTCCCTCCCATGTGAGGGTAGAGAGTGGACCCAAGATAGAAGGGTGTAGATCACCTCTCCTGCCACACAGGGAGGCTTTGCAGTTGACCTTAGCATACTGAGTGGATTTGAAACTGTTGTGAGATTAAATGGCCCTGCAACAAAATCCTCCACTTTGTACTGTCTGTCCAGCTAGCATCTGTATCCTACATGCACTTTTGTCTTTCACACTTAGACTTTGTCTCTGTAAATTTCACTTCTAGTGGTTTATTCATCAGCTGTTGTAGCTCCCCACAGAAAAGCAAACTGCACTGTAAACACCTTTCTGGGTTGGGGAAAATGTTCTTCCCTATACCTCACTCTCTTCCCCATGAAAGCAGATAGTTGGCACTAAACATTAGAAACTTCCTGTTCCCTCATTTATTTTTTGAATTCTTTTTGGTTGGATCGTCTTCCTAGCTACCATTTGCTGACAAATTATTGTAGCAGTTTGCAATAAAATTTTAAAGTATTTTCATGGACTTTGTTTTTCCTTTTGAGAAAGGAATGCTAGCATAGTAACCGCAGAATGAGCGAACTAAGCCCAGTCCCCAGAGCCTGTCTTCTTCCCGAGGTGTTTATTCATTGCCTTCCAAGGAGCCATTTGAATCCTGAAAATCTGTACTTCATTCTCAAATTTTTCTGCCTTTCAGATAACTTTTCACTTTATATTCTCCATCTTGAATTGGCAATTCTAAATTTTATGAATACAATTGAAATAACTGTATTTCTCAGAGATGTGCTTCCCTCTTGTTTGCGGTGCCATGGCCATTTTGTGTAATTATACTCCTTAATATATTTAGAGAGTTTAGATGGACAGTGGCTGGGAGTCCTAGGGATAAAGAGAAGTGTTGTAAGATACAGGAAAATATCGGCATAGAGCACTTGGACCTCCTTGGTGCCCGTTCGGAGGAAAAAACAACACGCTACCAACCTAAGTAAGGTTACTGTCTCAACTGAAGTACCAGTTTCCTCCTCCTGTTTTTCTCTCATTTTCCAATGTACTCAAAATTTAAGAATTGTAATGGATCAGTTATATTTCCTAAAATCTTTTCTGCCTGGTGTAATGTGCAGGGCCCTTCTTATGATGAAAGAGATGGGTAATTAACCTGATCTAGGCTGAAAAGGTTATGTAAAAAGAAATTATAATAAAAAGGGATACTTTGCTTTTCAAATCCTTTTCTCTTAATCTAGGTAATCATATCCAAAATAAGTATGTAAAGAAGAAAAATAAAGTGGTCTTCATGGAAGCAATTTGTCTCCCTTGGTTGTACTGAGTTAGTCATCTAGGTAAACCAGTTGATGCTGACATACGAAAACCAGATGCTCTCAGATCGGGTTTTATGTGAGGCATGTTGCTGTTTGCTATTTGAGAATTTGGTAGCTTGATTTCTATTGCTGGTATGGTATGTGATTGATTCTGTGTTGTACCTACTTGGAACCTTCTTGGTATTTCAATAGCCAACTAGGAAAAGTAGCTCTGTTGGTCTAGCAGAGGGAATGTTAAGGGTGCTGTGAGGTAAATTTCACTCTGATAATGACAGAACCTTTGTTGAATTTAATATCAGTGCTTCACAGTATTCTTTATTGTTTCAAGTGCTGACTTAAAAAAACAATCTTCCACTCTTGTAAAAGTTATGGCAGCCACTAAGATCCCTTGTTTATGGTAAATCTGGTCCTGAGATGGCCTGTGTTTCAACTTCTTAGCAGTATCTGCGATAGGAAATGCTGGATCCTTATTGATACATCTGGGGATGAAACTTGCAAATTTTACTAATTAGCATCACTCTGTGTACTGAGTACACAGTGCAGTAGAATGGCAGCTCTGTAAGCATGTTTTAACTCTCTTGTCCTCATTTAAAGCCTACCGCATTCTCTTGTTAAGCACAAAGTCTGACTGGGACAGGGAAGAAAACGCATGTTGTCACTTGAGTGATACTGCCTGAGAAATGTTACCCAGTTAAGGGTGGGTGTTTCCTTTGGGAGAGAACAGGACTAAACAGTGCCTCCCACATCTGTAGCTACTAGGAAGTCACCATACTTGAGATTAGAGATGCTTCCTTACCTGAGTTTTAAATCAGTGTAAATTAGCCTTATAAAAGGATGGAAGTGGAAAGATGCTATAGTTTTAAAGGACTTGTTTTACAAAATCTTTGTTTCTGAAAAATGTAAACTACCCAAAGAAATTGGAAAGTCAGTGGGAAAAACAACTAGAACCAGACCTGTACAGAAACATGAACCTAGTTTGTTGGATTAACTCCTTTGAGGTTAAGTTTCTTAGATAAAATGAGAAAACTTACTCCCAAGTACTATTATTTACCCAGAGTTACTCTTATGGATCAAGTGAAGTTGTTTTAAATGCTCTAGCTCAGTGTCTGGTCCATTTAAGGAATGGCACCTATGTCAGTAATTCTACCTAACACTTTCCTAGACCAAAACAAGAGTTTTAAAACATGGGGTGTGTAAAGGACAGGATAATAAAATGACAGATTATATGTGTAAATAGCAGATTCCATTAGGCAGGGGTGTCATGAGGATTACTGTGATAGTGACCTTGTTGCTAAGTACAAAAGCAAAACAATGACATAAAAACAAGTGTGCTAAGTACTGAGTGGAGGAGAGAGATGGAGGCAGACGCTGCAGAAAAAAAAGCTGATTAAAAAGAGCCCTTTGATTCCACATGCACAAAAATCCACAGCCAGGAATTTGCTGCCACCTCTGAGTCAGGCAGGGGGTGGGGATGGGGGTGCACAATCCCATTAGAGAATGCCCAGTGGATTTAGTCTGTGGGAGTCACATTTCTTATTTGGACCAGTATAGAAAGAAGCAAACTAGCTCACTCATTTCCTGGGACAGTTGAATTAGGGGATGGCTTTTGCAGAGCACTCACCACTGACCCTTCACCGCCGGGACCTCTGTAGCCGCTCTATCTGGCTAGCAAGGAAGATTCGTTTAGACCTGACTGCTCTTATGGAATCTTATGTAAGTTGACTGTTTTCCTGTTGTCTTTTTTCCTTCAACTCCTCCAGCCCAGCTCCTTCCCATCATGTTCCAGCCCCAGAACTAATTATGAAAACCCTAGTCATCTAGACACTTCTTATTTGACATGATCTTTTCCCTTGAGAAAACTCATGTAGTCTTACTGTCTTCCTCTAGGCTGTTTAAGAGGCAAGTCATCCCAACATGGGAAAAATAGATAATTTTGATTGCCTACCAATAGATTAGCCATGGGCCTTTTAAGTTTCAGTTCTTTATAGACATTTTCTGAAATTAGTAGCTTTGGAAATGAAAGGATGATAGAATTAGGAAGGAGAACAGTATGAACTTTTGGAGAAATTTACAAATTGAGTCCCGTCCCCATGATTGTCTCACCCCCCCATGTGTGGAGTTAGCTACCTATATCTACATTAGTATTCCATATCAGAAGTACTCCTGTCACTGAACAGATCTATCAAAAGACTTCCCTGGAAGACCCACTGGGGCCTTGTGAAAGTGTCAAATTAGCCATAAAGTTTCAGGATGGCTATCTGATGAAGGTTGCCCCGTCAGCCTCCACATAGAGGCCTGCTGTGGTAATACTCCAGGACCCTACCTAAAGTTCTAAATGTAAGTTATCTGAGACTTGATAGTCTCTGAAAAACTTTGCCAGTTAGAAGCCAATCTCAAATGATTGCTTCTTTTAAAAGTCAATTCCTAAGCCAGGTGTGGTGGCACACACATTTGATCCCAGCACTTGAGAGGCAGAGGCAGGCGGATCTCTGTGAGTTTAAGGCCAGCATGCTCTACATAGTGAGTTCCAGGACAGCTGGGGCTATAGGGAGACACCTGTCTCAAAAACACCAAAAAAGAAAAGGCAATTCCTATAGTGTTTTCAAGAATTGATCACACCATGAGAGTGGACAGTGGGGATAGAAAAGTTCAGGCGGTGCCATAGTATCTGTTCTACAGACCTTAGGCATAGCAGGTGGTCATATAAGTTACAATACTTAACTCCAGTATGACTAAAATATTCCAGTCTTCAGAACAGGAAAGAAAAAAAGTCTTCTCAATCACTAGTTTACTTTGTAGAACTTAATGACAGCAAAACATTCTTCCAGGAAAAGTACAGACATTCAGTTTCAGAGAATAGTGGGTCTTAAGATTCAGCCATGGTGTCCCACATGAAGAGTTTACATTCTAGACATTTTCTTTACAACTTGGACCCTTGACTATGAGAAGATGTGATTGTATTAAGTGGTTTTAAAGAACTGGGGTGATGCAGAAGATTTCATGTTTTGCTGTATCCTTGGCCAGGTAAAGCATCAGGGCCTGAACAAGAATATCAACCTAGACTCTGTAGATGGTGTGCCAATGGCAAGCACTGATCGCTGGAGTGAGATGACGGAGGCAGAGCGACTCAAAGAGAACCTCCGGGCTTACCGTGTCTTCCATGTCATGTTGGCAAGGCTTTTAGAAGACCAGAGAGTGCATTTCACCCCAACTGAAGGTGACTTCCATCAGGCCATACACACCCTTCTGCTCCAAGTTTCTGCCTTTGCCTATCAGCTAGAGGAGCTAATGATGCTTCTGGAACACAAGATCCCCCCAAATGAGGCTGTTGGGTCTCCTGCCACTATTGGAGATGGTGGCCTCTTTGAGAAGAAGCTGTGGGGCTTGAAGGTGCTTCAGGAGCTTTCGCAGTGGACCGTGCGGTCCATCCATGACCTTCGTGTCATTTCTTCTCATCAGATGGGAGTCCCAGCACATGAGAGCAGTTCTATGTCTAAGGACAAGAAAATATAGCAGTTAGATGAACCCTCCGCCCCCCATTTTTGTTACATACAATATAGATAGTTTCTGAGGGCTCATTTCCTCAGCAGCAGTGTTTGAACAGCTTAGATCACAGGCATTTTCATCAGGTAAGGTTGGCCCATGAACAGATGGACATACAGATGAGTCTGCAATGTATACAAGTGTATGCACATGTTTGTGTTTTGTGTTGGGAGTGTAAAGAATGCAATGGCACCATCCTCCCACCTTAGGGCTTTAACCCTTGTATCCACTAAGTAACCTTTCCAGGTATTTAACAGCCTTACTGACAGATAAATATTTTAACTAGCTCTGGTTGACCTGAGAAGACTGAACCAAGACATTGGAAGTCATGGACTATAACCATTCCAACTACCATAATAATAAAAACAGTAACATTTATTTGAATGTCTCCTATGTTGAGGCAGTAGGCCATAGGCTTTCTGTATATTCTGCGTAACTTATATTTGTGAGGAAGATAGTGTTACTCCCACCCAACTAGTGAATAAACAGTGGCAGTAAGTTTGAACCCAGGTCCTTTGCATTGTGAGCCTGTTTGCCTTTTCACTTTAGAGGCCTGATTGTGGACCTCTGTCATCAGATCTCTTCATCTCAAAGGGTTGAAAGATGTATACCAGTAACCTGTCCCTAGCACTGGAAAACTGTCCTCATTAGACGTCCTTCAAAGTCAAGTATTTGTTCCCCACACATGTCAAAGAATAGAGTAGCTGCACATCTTAAGATGACATTGGAGAAAAGCACGGGGCCCGCTGTGCTGCTAAACTTGGGAGCTGAGAATGTGCAGTAGTAGAGCCTGCTGTAAAGTGTTGACTGAAGAACTTGAACATTGGGTTAGTCACTGTTTACACCAAGTTACCAGAGATTTGATACAGGCACTCTGGCCCAGGCATTCATGGACAATGGGTGGAATACTACCCAGGTTAAAAAGTCACAGAACTCCATCACCTCACATTCTCTGGACTTAGTCATGAGGAGAAGGTGAGGCCTACTTTGTTCTCACTGGAAATGCCAGAGATTCTGAAACCATACACAAGTACAGCTTCCTCACTACACATCAGAAGGGCAATACCCTGCTTTTAAGGTTCTGAGAACCACACACTGCATGGAAAGCCAGAAAACAGACATTCCTGGGAGAGGTAGTTTGCAGTGAAGCCTGTGTTCTAGTGGTGCATTATAGATTCAAAAGTTCTCTAACCTTTCTATAACTAAACCTGAGATCTTGAGTTAGAAGCGCAAGTCTAATCAAGGCATCTTGCTTCATAAATGATCCAGTCAGAAACAGGTTGCATGAGGTAAGGATGTGTGACAGTTTGTATCCTTTCTATACGGGTTCTGCATGGATCAGAACTCTAGTGTCCATGTAAAAGGGCTCAGCTCAGCATTGTGATAGCTCAGGAAGCAAGGTCCTGCTTTCTAGCACATGTTTGTACAAATGCAGCTGCATATATATGAAATAACAGACCAAGAGAATGTGATTATAAAGAAAGATCAATCAGAGCCAGAGACAGTTCTCAGGAGAGATTGTGGCGGGGGGGGGGGGGGGGGGGGGGTGCCTCCCAGGTTGGTGGAGTACCAAATAGTACCAAAAGGAGAAACAGGAAAGTTGGTTGCTGAAAAAAGGCAAAAATAAACATCTGGACCAAGCTAACCCAAGAGACATTTAATTTGATTTCATTTGTAATTCTGGTACAGATAGTTTTCCACTAAGCATAGGAATCCTTATTTCATTCAACCTTGACCTTACTCAAATTGTTTCTTTGTCAGGAGTATTTTCCATTACAGTATCTGATAACAAAGCTCTTAGATTCATCTGGATGAGGCTTTTGTTTAATTGTCAGAGGTATGACTAAAATTTCAAATTTCAGAGAGTATGAACTTTCTGTATCACTCATGTGTAGCTTCTGGGGTTTTTGTGTCCCACGGGTCTGACAGGCAGACATATGGAGTTTTCAGAAATCAGTGGAGCCCAACTTAGGCTCTACTCACATATGAAGGAATATTTCATGTGTAAGAGGTAGATTTCTAGTGGCAGATACAGTACAGATACTGCATGGAGAAGGCCTTTAGAAAAGAGGGCTAGGGAGATGGCTCAGTGGAGGAGTGCAGCTTGCCTCCAAGCATGCATACCTGAGTGAGTCCCCAACTACTATGTCAAAGCCAGGTACAGCTTCATGTGCCTCTAACCCCAGCATTGGAGAGAAGAAACCTTGTGGATCCTGGTAGCTAACTGGCCAGTCAGCCTTGCCAAAACAATGAACTTGAGGTTCAATGGGAGACCCTGTCTCAAGGCAGTAAGGCAAATGTGTGATAGAAGATGCCTGCTACTCTCTCCTGGCCTCAGCATGCATGTACCCACTTCCTTGATTGCACTGCATAAACACACAAGTGTAATACTTTTAAACTTTGATAATAAAGGGGGAGGGAATGGGTACTGAGCCATAGAACACAATATAAGCCTGTTTGAGATCTGGGTATGTAGATAGTGCAGTGTGTTTACCAGAAATGCATAAAGCTGAAAAAGGGCTGACAGTTCAGTGTCCTAGATTGTCTCCTAATACAAATAATGAGAATATTGTGGAAGTCTACAGTTTGTTGTTTTATTGTTGCTGTGTTCAGGGCTTACACTGGCACCCAGGGCCATGCAGGTTTTTTTTGGTTTTCTTCTTTCAGTCTGATAGAACCCGGGACCTCACATGCTAGGCAATAATCTACCACCAAGCTACATCTCCAACCCTTGAACACAACATAGTCTTAAAAGATCCACAACCCCACGAGACTTTTGTTCTTAAGATTTTATTCCCTTATTTCTTAGACTTGTATATTGATAGAACCCCTAGGAAAATCAGATATAATTACAGTTATAATAATAAGATATGTAATAAACTCAGTTCCTAACCTTTAACTTCTACTTTGTTTTAAAAAGGAAGAAAAAGATTCCTCCTACCCCACAGCCTCCAGAAACTCTCTGTGAGGAGAGGAATTCTGTTTCCCTGACTCTAGTAGGGATTTGCATGGATGAGTCCTGACAACTTTTTTGAGGATTTAGAAGACTTACAGATTAGCACAAGATTAGCCAAGCGTGGACTAGAATTATCTTTATAGTACTGGGAGTTGAGGGAAGTGACTTTAATAAAACATGCAGAGTGTAAAGGTACAGCCCTGGCGGTGCTGTTACTTCAGGCTGCTGTAGATGAAAGCCCAGTGGATGACTCACTGTTGTGTCCCCTGGTCAGACAGGAGAGGACACAAGAATATTTCAAGGAGACATACATGAAAAGTGGTTTTGAGCGACTGCACCCTCAGGTCCTCAGAGTCACTCAATACCACTATTTCAGATATGTGAGTAGAATTGCGATTTCAATCTGTGTGTGTGTGTGTGTGTGTGTGTGTGTGTGTATGTATGCATGTATGTATAATGGTTTGTGGGCTAGGGAACTCTAGAAAGGGATTTGCCTGTGAGACTCCTACACCCTCCACCTCAAGTGCAGTGATCAAGAATGAGCCCTCCCAGTGCATTCAGAAGTTAAAAGCAGTAAAAACACCACCACAAAAGCTTTGATAGAACCTTGAAGATCACAGAATACAGGAGAAAAGATACCAGTGATGTGGAGATAAAATCCATGTGTTTGGGATTCTTAACAAAGAAATATATTTCTTGGATCAGTCTATTTTGGGTACATAGAAAATAAAAGATGCCAGAATGGCTAACAATAGATTTCTCAGCAGGACCACAAGGTTGCTTCTCTTATTTCTGTGTCTTCAAATGAACGAGGGGAATTTCAAGTGATTTCAACATTGGATAAACTATAATTGTCTCAGCTAGGGCCAGGCTCAATCAAGCATGCTGGGTAAATCTCCATGATGCCAGGCCACTGGGAAAACATCCCAGGGCCAACCAGACTGGAAAAGGTTGAGTGCCCCCACGCTACCAGGCCAAATGCTTCTGTGCCATCTGGATATGTAGTTCTATCACCTGGCTGCAAATGAAGGTTTGGTGTGATTTCAAATATTTGATTTCCAGTCAAGTCTGGCTCAAAAAGATCTCTGACTAGCCCATTTATACTTACTTTGGAGGCAGAAATTGTAGAATACTATATAGGAGAAAATATGGAAAATTGCATCTGTTTCTATCTACAGATTCAGGATACAAAAGAGCAATTATTTGAGACAGCTCCACATTATGTCATGTAATCCTTTGAGATATTATCTCCTGTTCATAGATGAGGGAAATGACAACCAACATTAATTTGACGAAATTTATTCCTCTAATATATGACAGGGCTGAAGTTTTAATTCTGGACTCAAAAGTCACTTCCACACCCATACTTCAAGAGACCTAGTAATCAAGATCATCTGATTGGGAAGCCCATTCTCCATCTCTGAAGTTCACTTTCCTTGAATAAACCAATATCAGCTTGTACCAAACTTTGTGACAAAGCTTATATTGGGAACCGATATAAGTTTCCAACCGGTGATGTCACTTTTCCTGAGGTTCTCACTTAGGAAATGGAAACAATGACAAATACCTAACCTCACATGTTGTTACAGTTCCAATTATCTGAAAGTACTTGTAAATGACATGCAAACTTCAAGAATATTTAATAGCACAAGTATCTTTGATTCAAGTTGAACTTTGGACTAAGAAGCAGACTTTGTAAATATGTCAGATATCTCAGAAAGTATCGTTTGCTTCCTACGATTGACCTAGTGATTATAGCCTTATCTTCCCCTCGTTGGCCTTTGACCACAAAAGATGCAACAGCTTCACCCCCAGCAGGAATTATCCACCTCTCTGGAGAGTTTTAGGCACAGGCCCTTTGCTACACACACAAGATGGCTTTCCCAGTAGTGGAGTCAAGCAGGCTCTGGAGACACCTGGCAGGCACTAACCTGGGGATCCAAGGAAACATGTAAACCCAGGCGCCACCCAAGATGTGTTAAAGCATGCATTCAGACTCTCCCCTAGTGTACCCACATCCTTTTAATACACGAAGGTACTCAAACATTTAGTCCAATCCCTTTATTATTAAACAGTATGAGGGAATCAAAGAGTTTCCAAAATCTGCCCCAACATTTTGGCTGGAAATGAGAACCCAGCCCAAGTCTCTGTATCCCCCACTGCATCTCCCTACCTGTTCATTAGGCCACCTCCAGGAAGCATCAGCCAGCCATCTGTTTGCATCCTTTTCATTGTCTTACATCCAGCCTCCTCAGCTACTGTGCCTCTAATAACCATCTGAAGCTCTAGGATTCTAAAGTGCCAATCCTTAGAACCCTTTGAATCTTGAGAAACTCGTAACTAGACTCCTTTTGCCTTCCCAAGCACAATTTTGACTACAATCAAATGGTCCTATAGCCCATCTCTTCCCTAACATGATGTG